TGTGCTCATGTTAGCCTGGCTCCTCTGCAGAGCAGAGACAAGGATGGGATTAAACACACAGGGATTTTACTGAGGAAATGCCTGTGAGTGAGAAAGGGCTGGGAGCTGGAGGAGGTTGGTTGAGTGAAGGAGATGGGAGAGTCAGGTTGGGTGGAGGTGTTCTGGGCAGATGTGTAATCCAAGGAAGGTCTGTCAAGGCCTCATGGGAGTTGCCCACCAGAGGAGTCTGCTGTCTCCCAGGAATAAGCCTGCTGTGCTCAGTCAAAGGCTGGGCGCTGCCTCTGTGAGCATGGCCTTGGGCAGACGCAAGAGCACAGGAACTGGAGTGCTGGCTGCGTTATGCCCCCTGGTTGGGTGTCTGAGTGCATTCTCATGGCTGCCACCGGCTCTGTGCCCAGCTCGCTTTATTCACCTGACAGGTTTTACGGGGCTGTCACGCAAGACCTTTTAAAGCTCCATCTCTTGAAATTTGGGCCCTAGAGGGAGGTGGTTTTCCCCATCTTACAAAGTCCCAAATTTCTGTATTCTCTCTATTTCCTTTCATTTCCACTTGCAAGGCATTCAATTCTTTCTCAAACTAGTTTCTTTCTCTTAACACCTTCCCAAACACAGCCACTGGCAACCAGCACACACTACCGATTTCCTATTCTCCAGTCTCTCCCCTCAGAGTGACGCGTTCAGAGGCAGGAGGGTCTGCCTTTTACATTACAGTGCCCACCAACTTCACCCAATGTTTTGCTCCTGCATAACATGGCTCGCCAGCCATTTAGCCTGCTGAACATCACCGGACACCCAACTGCTTAGGTAATGACCCGTAGTTTCTGTTTCTGTCTCAGGGGTACCAGTTTTGGGATAGATTTCCATTTCAGTCGTGGTAATCAATAGGATCTGTTGCAATAGGAAAACTGAAAAATCTCAGTAGCTTAATGAGACATAGGTTTTGTTCTTGCTCATGTTACTGGTGGATGTGGGTCAGGTAGACTCAAGGCTTAGCTGCTTCACCTTGCAACACCACCATCTCCAATTCCTTATTTTCAGCCAGTGGACAAGAGGGGTGCTGGGAGAGAGAGCGGGGAGAGGACAGAGGAGAAAGCTCACTGGCCCCTAACCGCCTTGGTCCACGGGTGGCACAGTCACTTCCTTCAGGGGGTGCTGCACTGTCGCTGATGTTTTCCCTGCTGAAGATGTCAGGGTGCTCAGCCTCAGACACAGTCCCAGACTCGGACACCTGCTTCAGCAGGCTGACTTGACTGCTGTGTTGCTCCCCAGAGGGAGTGGGAGGGAGAGATGGCCATGGACCTGCACTCAGGCCCGTGTCTCTCTGGAATCCTCTTTGTTGATGACAGTACTGTAGAATGGTTATGTACCTTCGGCGAAACTAGGCCCTTTCTTACTACTTAGAACTCAGACCCGTTCTTCTTCCTTTCTTGTTCCTCCTCATGTTGTGAAGCAGCGAGCGACAAGCACATCCAGTGGCTGCTGGGGGAAGATGGCGAGGTCTGGGTCTGGATCATGGGAGAAGGCCCTGGCGACAAGCCCTATGAAGAGATCTCTGAGGAGCTGATTGCAGAGAAGGCACGGCTGCAGGCACAGAGGGAGGCCGAGGAGCTCTGGTGAGAGGTGCCAATGGGTGTCGTGTGGGGCCTGAACTCAGAGCCTTGGGGTGGGTCCCAGAAAAGGACAAGTGGTTATGGGTCAGAGGGAGGAGGTGCCAGGCAGTTGGCTGGCTGTTAGGTGACCAAACCATCGAAGTCTTGCTTCAGACAGACCTTATGGATTCAAATCCTGGCTCCACCAATTAGAAGTGAGCTATTTGGGGCCTCAGTTTTCACACTGAGGTATGGGTATAACAACACTGCTTCTATTTGGATTCAGTGAGACAATGCATACGACATGCTTTTGCTTTTCCTCTCACTGAGTGGTTCCTGGGACAGTAGGCAGTTTGGATTCACTTTTGTTATCTGCTTGTTTTTCTTTCATGGACATTTGAGTCCCCAGTGAGATTTGGAATCAGAATTCTTTTATAAACAACTTTTAACATCTTTTTGCCAAACTTGGATGCCAACATCCCCTCCCCCCGCCACCCAATTGTTAGTGACATTGTTTTTTGTTTTTAACCTTTTTATGCTTCAGTTTCCTCATCTTTATTTTATTTCATTTTTTAAAAATATGTTTTTTTAAAATTTTTTAGAGAGAGAGGAAGGGAGAGGGATCGAGAGACAGAAACATCGATTGAGAGAGAAACATCATTAATTGGCTGCCTCCTGCACCTCCCCCATAGGGAATCGAGCCCGCAACCCGGGCATGTGCCCTGACCATTGAATCGAACCTGGGTCACTCAACTGCTGAGCTACACTGGTCGGGCATAGTGACAGAGTTTTAACTGTAAAATTGTTAACAACAACCCAGCATCTGCCACCTAAGATAATCACAGTGAGCATGTAAGCAACAGGTGCTCCTTGACTTACAATGGGGTTTTGTCCTGATGTACCCATCGTGAATGGAAAATATCGTAAGTTGAAAATGCATTTGCTGCACTGAATGTACCGAACATCACAGTTTAGCCTAGCTCACCTTAAACATGGCTCAGAACACTTACATTAGCCCACAGTTGGCAAAGTCACCTAACACAATGAATACACTAGTGTGGGTTGTTGACCCTGTGATCTGAGAGCTGTGGCTCTCCAGAGAGTATCTTACAGCATATCAACAGCCCAGGAAAAAAGCAAAATTCAAAATCAAGGTACTGTTTCTACTGAATGTGTATTGCTTTGGCATCATTGTAAAAACAAAAAATCATCATTAAACCACCAGTAGTTGGGGACTGTCTGTAAATGGCTCTGTAAATGGCTTTATTAACACACAGATAAATTGATTAGTATAGATTCACAACATTATTTAAGACTAGAGGTCCGGTGCACAAAATTCGTGCACTTGGTGTGTGTGGGGGGGGGAGGGTGTCCTTCAGCCTGGCCTGCGCCCCCAGCAGTCGGGGAATGTCTGACTGCTGCGGAGGCAGGAGAGGCTCCCACCACTGCCACTACGCTTGCCAGCCGTGAGCCCGGCTTCTGGATGAGTGGCGCTCCCCCGTGGGAGTGCACTGCCCACCAGGGGGCAGCTCCTGCATTGAGCATCTGCCTCCTGGTGGTTAGTGTGCGTCATAGTGACTGATCATTCTGCCATTCAGACGATTTGCATGTTAGCCTTTTATTATATAGAAGATTACTATAGAGTGTTCTCAGTACATGGGAAACCCAACTAACTGGTCCTGTTGATGGACATTTAGGTTGTTCACCATTCTTTATGCTCAGAACACATAAAGTGGGCTAATTCAGGACCAGATTGTTTCAGCAACAAGGTTGTTAATCTTCCCATGATGGTAGGCAGTATTGGGAAAAGGAGAATGGACGGTATTTGGATGTTAACTCCCATGTCCCAGGGCGTACAACTCCCAGCCAGGTTAGAATGCACTTTCTTTAATCAGAACAGAACACAGCAAACAGAACATGATTAATATTTCTTATAACTATAGTTAGTCCCACTATTCTATTTCTGCCTCTAACATTGTTATGTAGACCTTCAGTTTCCCACATGAGCTTATACCTTCTGGTGTTCTCTTGGAAGGAGACAGAAGGAGGCAGAGATCACCAAGAAGTTCCGGGATGCTCTGGCCAATGAGAAAGCCCGGATCATGGCAGAGAAGTGGAAAGTGGAGATGGAGGACCGCAAGGCTGCCAAGGTCCTGGAGGAGCGCATTCACGAGGAATTCAAGGTGAGCCTGTGTGCGGGGCATCTGTGAGTGGTCACCTGCTTTAGCCCCCAGGTTTAGATCAGTCCTTGGCCGTTGGTCATTTCTGCTTTATGAGAACAGAAATCTGCCCTGTCTCTGAGGAGGAAGGAACTTGATGTACCAGTTGGGCCAACCCACTTCTCATTGTACAGTGGAGAAAACTGAGGGTCAACAAGGAAGAGGCTGCCAAGGCCATGTGTAGTTAAGGACAGAGCCAGGATCAGGACTCAGGCCTTCTGCCTCCCAAACCGAGATTCCTGAAATGAGGGCAGGAAAGAGCAAAGTTTGTGGTCGGGTCAACCTGGGATGCAGTTCTAACTCTACTGCTCACTGCTGCGTGACCTTGGGAAGCTTTCTGAACCCCTCTGAGCCTTCACTCCCTTGTTTGTAATACTAGATAATAGCATCACCCAACTGTGGTTTTTGGAGGATTCAAGGAAATGAAAGAGGTATAATTCTGGCCTGGATAGGAAGCTGTTGGTAGGGCTGCAGGCCCGCTCATTCTGGGAGAGCTTGGAGCCGATAGAGGAGCTTTAGTCCTCTATAAGAAGCTTAGGTAGTGTGAAGATATTTTTTTTTCTACAGGAATTATACATTTTAGGGGGCAGTAAAAAAACTCAGAAAATGCATATAAGCAAAAAGAAGAAAATCATAATCATTCTGAATCCCAACAATTATACTATTTTGTGAAGTGTAGATTAATGGCATTTGGCCATTAAAAGCAAAACAAAACAAAACAAAACAAACAAACAAACAAACAAAAAACCTCCTCAGAATGATTCCATAGTGAGGACATTGCCCCCACAAGATCATTTATGTTGCAAATATTTTTCTTAGTGTTGTGTTGTTTTTTTTTCTTAAATTTGATTATAGTCCTTTTAGATGTACAGAAGATTGAAATTTTTACTAGCTAACTATATCAATCTTTTTCTTTTTACTATTTGTTTTATGCTTAGAAAGATCTGTGCCACCACAAGCTTCTAAAATACTGATATACATTATTTTCTATCGCTTTCATGAATTTGTTTCTTTGCACTTAATTTTCCTTCACTTGGAGTGTGGTTTGATATAGGGCTCTAACTTCATTTTCTCCCAAGTGGTGAGCCATTGTCCCAGCCTTGTATAATAGGCAACCCACCCTCTCTCCTCTCATGGACTTGCTGCCTTAATTCTTACTTCTTGTACATCTCTTCCCGGATTGTTCTTCTTTGATTATTCCTGAGCCAGATTTACTTACTTAGTTATTGTAGTTTTAAAATAAACCTTAACATTGTCATGGCGAGAAACTTTTATTATTCTTCATTTCCAAACTGACCTTGGCTAATCATACCCATTTTTCCTACTAGAAATATATTTGAGTGATTTTGTCATTGTTCCTATCTCTCCAACAACAAAAGCCACTTGATGATTTTCATTGGAATTGCATCAACCTTATAGCTGTATTTGTGGAGGATGGACATTTTCACAGTATTAAGTCGTTGACTCTTCTTGTTTAGGGATGTGGTATGTTCTTCCTGTTACTCAAAGCTTCTTTTTGTCTTTGATAAAGTTTTTTTGTTTGTTTAATATTAACACCTGCAAATGCATTGGCCAAACATTCACAGTATACTTATGTACTTCATATTCACTTATGTCAGTGGTTCTCAACCTTCTGACCCTTTAAATACAGTTCCTCATGTTGTGACCCAACCATAAAATTATTTTCGTTGCTACTTCATAACTGTAATGTTGCTACTGTTATGAATCGTAATGCAAATATCTGATATGCAGGATGGTCTTAGGCGACCCCTGTGAAAGGGTCGGTCGACCGCCAAAGGGGTCGCGACCCACAGGTTGAGAACCGCTGACTTATGTGCTTCTATTTTTTGGAGTTTGGTAAAATTTGTTGTATTATTTAAATACTCCGCCCTAACCGGTTTGGCTCAGTGGATAGAGCATCAGCCTGCGGACTCAAGGGTCCCAGGTTCGATTCCGGTCAAGGGCATGTACCTTGGTTGCGGGCACATCCCCAGTGGGGGGTGTGCAGGAGGCAGCTGATCGATGTTTCTAACTCTCTATCCCTCTCCCTTCCTATCTGTAAAAAATCAATAAAATATATTTAAAAAAATAAATACTCCACAATTGTTTTTTAGTTAAACTTTAGGTTTGATATTTTTTTGTTGCTATCGTATATGAGATTGTTATCATTACCTTAAAACCATTGTAATTGCTAGTTATATATTTATATTGTTATTGATCTGCTTATTTAATTTTCTATTGAATTATATTTTTTAGGAGATTCTCTTGAGTTTTTAAAGTGAAGTAATATTTACTCTTAAAACATTTTATGAAAAATATTTTCAAACTTGTAGAAAGGTTAAAAGAAAAATAAAACGAATACTCACATTCTCTACTTAAATTCACCAATTATTAATTTTTGCCACATTTGCATCCCTCTTCTCTCTCTCTCTCCACACACACACACACACACACACATATGTACAGGTGACCCTTGAGCAACATAGATTTGAACTGCGTGGGTTCACTTTTATGTGCATTTTTTCCATAAATACTGTAAATGTATTTTCTCTCCCTTGGGATTTTTTAAATGACATTTGCTTTTGTAGCTGACTTTATTATAAGAATATAGTATATAATGCACAAAAATCTGCATTAATTGACTGTTTGTGTTAAGGCTTCCAGTCAGCAGTAGGCTATTAAGTAGCTACGTTTTTGCGAAGTCAAAAGTTATATGAGGATTTTCAAATGTGCAGACATTGTCAGTCCAACCTCCACATTATTCAAGAGTATATGTGATACATATATAGGGTATCCCCAAAATGTATACACACACTTTGAATAATTACAAAGGCAATGTTTATTAAAATACACTTCATTTTCAAAACCGAGCTACCAGCTGTTCAAGTGTGTATACATTTTTGGGGACACCCTGCATATGTATAAATATATATATACACACACGCATATATGCAGTTTTTTGTTGCTGTTGTTTTGCTGAACAATTAGAAAGGAAGTTGCAGACATCATACTCTCACTCAGGGGTGAGCAATCTATTTTCTATGAAGAGCCAAGTGGTAGCCCTAACTGGTTTGGCTCAGTGGATAGAGCATCAGCCTGCAGACTGAAGGTTCCCAGGTTCGATTCTGGTCAAGGGCATGTACCTTGGTTGCGGGCACATCCCCAGTAGGGGGTGTGCAGGAGGCAGCTGATCGATGTTTCTCTCTCATCGATGTTTCTAACTCTCTATCCCTCTCCCTTCCTCTCTGTAAAAAATCAATGAAATATATTTTTAAAAAAGAGCCAGGTGGTAAATTTTGGGCTTTGTGAGCCATATTGTCTCTGTCACAATGACCAGACCAGGCCACTGAGGCACAAAAGCAGCCAGACACCAAGTAAACAAAGGCGGTGGCTGGTCCAATAAGACTTCCTTTTAAACAATAGATTGAATCTTGGCCTGGGAGCCTTGGTTTGCTTACTCCTGGTCAAACCCTACGTCCTCCAGCGGGCATTGCCCAGGGAAGGACCTTCCCTGCACAGCCACAGAAATCATTATCACTCCTGTTGAACAACGATTCCATAATAGTATCTAAAACCCAACCCACAGTGAGCGCTGTTTAGCTTATATTGCATGTGATTACTTAAGTCTGCTGGGGGAGAAAGCTGGTACTTTTTATATATCTCTGACCTGTTCCAATCTCTGCCCCCCCTTCCCAGAGGAGGGCTGAGCCTCAGATGCTGGGGAGGCTCACTGCTGTGGGGGTCAGTGTACAAGGAGATCACAGAGGGACCGAGTTTCCGGCAGAGATGTTTGTGATCGATGGTCTCCTTCAGAACCTCAGTGCTGTGGGCCGTTCTGCGTTAGGGTTCACGGAGGGTTTAGTAAACTCAGGCCCCCCTCAGGTTCACTGAGGGACCCAAATGTGGGTGTTTGGTGCTATTTCCGAAGAAGGTTATTATGGCCATTCTGTGTTCATTTGTCATTTATTTATTTATGTATTGATTTATTAAAATATTGGGGTGCCATTGGTCAACATGAACATCTAGGTTTCAGGTGTGGGTGTCTTATGTTACAATTGTTTTTGTTTTAAAAGTTAATTTGCTAAGTGTGACTGCTCAGACTTTGGTACACTTAGTACTTGGCAGGTCTGCATGTTGAGGGGCCTCAGAAATGTGGGCAGCATCTGCAAGGCAGGGGCTGGGGGGGCGGAGGTGGGGGGCTGACAGGGTACGGATCAGGTGCCCGAGCTGGGATATTGCTGCCAGCGCTGTCTGTAGATGCGCTCCCCTTGTGTCACTGTGAGCTCTTCATCACAGGAAGTGGTTAAGCACTGGCTGACAGCGTCTGAAAAGGATTCTGCGGGGGATTAAGTATGGCTGGTGGCCAGTTCCTTGTGGTGCTCCTTTGGGTCTCCCCTCCGGTGCCCCGTGGCAGCGGGGACCTGCAGCATGAGCTTTGATCTGTGAACCTGGCCCTGTGGCTTTTGAGGTGATCAGGGATCTGCAGCTTCGACTTCTGCCCCTTTGGCAAGGTCACTTTGGAAGCTGCCTGCGAGAAGCCCCTCTGCCTTCGATCACAGGCTGTAGGTAAGGAAGCCACAGCCAGCAGCGGAGAGAGAGGCCGGAAGGAGGCACCGGACATGGGAGGGAGCCTTCTTGGCTCTGGACCCTCACCCTGTGGCACAGAGGGCCCCCAGCTAAGCTCTGCTCGAATTATTAACTACAGAATCATGAGCAAGGAACATGGATGCTGCTCTAAAGCACTCAATTTTCTGGTGGTTTGTTAATCAGTAATACATACCCGAGACAGCTTTGCGAGAGGAATTTATGCATCAGCTTAGAGATGGGCTTAGATCCCTTTTATTGTGTCTTTCAACACTAAGACGCTAGCAGCGTGAGTGTAGCATGCAGCAGCGCACTAACAATGTTTGTTTTACTTCATTTTCTTCTTTTCTGAGGATGTAAGTGCAGATGTTTTGGGTGGA